ACCAACTTTCCTTCTTGTCAGATTTCTCATTTCTTAACTTTCACAGAAAGCTAGGAGAACATGAGTATTTTTATAGTGAAAGAAAGGATGGACTAAAGAGATTAAACAAATTTATCTCAAAGGACAACTAAACAAAAACTGTCATTGGATCTTAGCTCACTACGTTTTGTAACAGGCATTTGGGATGTTTCCACTGTTTTATCCTAGTGTCAATAACCATGGTGCTAAAGAAGAATGCATTTCAAGTCTTAAGCTACCTTATTTATAACCCAAACAGTAATACCAGCACTGCTGCAGCTGCTGCTATTGTCATTATTATCACAATGCAAGAGATTAGGACAAGGCATACCTGTTCAATGTTTGTTGGAAGCACAGCTTTATCAATAGCCTTTGGAGTCCATATCTTGATGTCGTTTTCAATTCCACTGCTAGCCAGAACTGCAGTATGAGGATGAGACTCGATACAGTTGACCACATGTTTATCTGCTTTCATAACACGAACAAGCTCTCCACCTTTTTTCTTCCAAATAAATATTCGACCACAGTCGGATCCACTAACCACATACTCAGAGTTGGGTCCAAAGAAGCTCACACCCTTCACCGTCTCACAATTTCTATGTCCCTTATAAACTTGAGGAATAGCTTTTTCATCAGCTTCCATAGCAGAGTGGTCAGGTCCCACTTCACTTGCTTCACTACATGCATAGGATGGAGAAGGAAGAACTGGATTGGGGCCCAATCCCATATCTTGGGTAAAGAGATAAATGAACTCATAACTGTAGGAAACAAGAAGCTCACTCTGATCTGAAAAGGCCAAGCCAGTTATACCAACTTGATCGTCACCAATCAAATGAGGGGGGCAAAAATAATCTGTAGGCTGACCAAAATCAGTTGAGCCATCCCACTTATATTTGCGAATATCATAAAGGCGAGTATACTCATCTGATCCAGCAACTGCGAAGAGATTTGGGTTCCTTGGATCAATTGAAATAGTATTGAGAGGAACAACCGGCATGTAAGCCTTGCTATCATCAATTGGATGACATGTAAAAAGTTTTGTAGCTGCTGAAGTTCTAAGATCAATCTGAACGGCAAAGTATAAAAGGGCTCTATAAGTCAGCTATGCAAAAGTACAGACAAAAATCAGGTTATAGAAGCTAGATCATCATAGAACAAATCAGATTATAATATCCAGATCAACATAGAAGAATAAGAATAATATGAGAATGGAGTTGACATTATATTCATTTATATAAGACACCGCTATTATACAGCCGGTAGCCATTTCATAAGAACAACGGGTCTAGAAAAAGTAGGGGGGAAATCAATTGCAGACAATCTGACATTAGAATTGATCTTCTCAAAACTTTACCCAATTCAGCCACATATGACTGAATAAAGTTTTAAAACACAACTCACACGCTGCACTAGTCCATCTTGACCACAAGTGTAAAAAATATGAGGGCTTCCTGGTTCAATGGCCAATTTATGAGCTTGTCCCTCGTGTCTGGCCAGCAGACTAGTTTCAACACCACGCTCCAACAGTTGAGCATATCGAACCTACAATTAGGAAACAGTCCTTAGTTAGAATAAGTATTCCTCAATTTACTATATAGTGGTCTTTGCTTAAGCACATGCTACATATTAGCTTCTCACTCCTTAGAACTTTTTTTAAAAAAACTTTTGGTACTCCAAGCCTCATTTTCCTTCATAAATTAAGAGACAAAAAGTCATTGATGCAATAATGGTCATCCGGGAGGCAAATAAAATTTTTGCAGTTTAACAGAAAATTTTAGGACTTTGTTGGTTATCACCACCTACAATATAACAGAAGAATCTACAATTTATCCTACAGATTTAAAAAAAATGCTGCATGCCTAAATAAGCAGTTCACCTGTCCATCTGCAGCACAGGTAATCAAGCTACAATCATCTGCGTAAGGCATGAATTTTGCTTGGAATACGTTGCTCACATGACCTGACTGGAAAGTAAGCTTGGCATGCCCAGTTTGCCAATCCCATAGTATAATCCTCTTGTCATCGGAGCCGGAGACTAAAATGTTACCATCAGCATTAAAGCTCACAGTGTTCACACAACCTCGATGCTTTTCAAGTTTCTTGAAAATTTCAAATCGGAGCACAAGATCCTGGGACATAAACCAATTAACAAATCAAAACCTAATATAACATGGGACTTTGTAAAGGATATAAATTTGTGACTTCAACTTTTCACACATTTTTCCACTACTTACAAGCCAAAACAGTGCGATAAGCATATCCATTCATTCAACACACAAAGCCACCAAATGTACAATCTAAGTTTCTCAGTAAAATATGAGATATTATATAAGATAAAAAATAATTGCATTTAAAAAATGCTGGGGGTTTGAATTTAACTTTTAAATATAAATTTCCAAAATATTTATTTATTTATTCAGCTTCAAGAGAACATTGAAAGCAAGAGATCAATTTTTTTAACAAAATCATTCTAAAAGAACACATTTTTATGATTACTCCATTGTTTGTCACCCATCATTGAGTTTTTCGAATCCAGATCAATGGTAGCTATAAATACACAAATCAAGTAGAATCCACCCACCCATCAATCAAAGATAACCAAAATCAAACACAGCAATTTATGTAGTTCGTGTTACCCAGTTTCAATTTCATCAACAAATAAGCTGTAATAATTAACCCACTGAAAACAATAGGAAGATACCACAAATATTGACAAGTTTTGTGCGAAAAGGGGATCAGACCTCGGACGCAGCAAGCCGGTGGGCGAATTTCCTATTTGAAAGTTCCCCGACTTCCCGTTGCCAAACATCAACCACCGCCGTATCGACACTCGCCCTTGGCCTTTTACTACCCATCGCCGATTTAAGGGGAAAAATTGGAGAATTATTTGATATAAAGAAAAACAAAGATTAAATTCAATCAATTTCTCAATCAATGTCAAAACAAGTTAAAGGAATGGGCTTTTTTATGTTGTTAATGACTCACTGAATCGGAGCGAGTCCATAGAGAGAGAGAGAATAAAAAAGGAGAATGAAACCGGCGGAAGGTTCTTTCTCTTTCCGTAGATTTATGGGTTTACTGAGATTACTCGATTTCACGTAGGTTCGAGTGTTCGAGTGAAGCCCAAGGGAGGGGGCTATAATCCACTATTGGCGTTCCTCAATTTTATATGTTTTTTTTTTTGGGAAGAATCTTGATGTTCAACTATGGTTTGCACGTGGCATTGGTTTGCACGTGGCATTCGTCAGCGTATCTAGCTTTGGTATAATCATAAAAAATTGCTTAAACTATACATCTTTATTGTTTAGGTACTTAAGTTTTTTTTTGTCAAAGTAAGTGTCTAATATTTTTGACGTTATCATTTTAAATGTTTAATCAGTTACAACCGTTAAAAAAGTCAGTTAAATTTAGTCAATCAACCAATATTTGACATATGACCTAATTTTTAATAGCATTTACATTTTTTAAAAAATAACATTCATAAATTTTGAAAAAAAATCTTGATTTTTTTTATTTTACACAAAACATTTTAAAATCATAGAATTTTAACTCATAAATCTTTAAAATCCTAATTCTCTAATCAAGTTTCAAGGATTTAGACGACAATAATAGAATGATCGATAATAGGAGTCCGATGACAACGATGATAATTGGCGACAAGAAAAATTCGAATGTCGATGAACAGTTGAATATATAGCGACGTTATCTTAATGAGAACGCATGGAGTTTAAGCAGAATGAAAAGGAATTTGACACATTAACGAATAATTGACGAACAGTTAAGCAAAATGCAATCGGGGAACATTTGGGTGCTAGCTTTCTAGGAATTTGGAGAAATTTTACGGTGCAACACCTTTTATATATGGTTAAAGAAAGACGCTACCGGTTTTGTTATTATTTTTATAATAAAACTGGTAAAAAATTACCTAAAATATTATTATTTCGACCGATTTTGTTATTTTGTTAATTACCGGTATTGGTAAACGCGGTAGAAAACCCGGTAGAAAAAATAATATTTTATGTAGCACTTTACCGGATATGTTACCAAAACTGGTAAAGCGTCCAATAATAACAAAACCGGTAGAAATAATAATGTTTCTAATAATTTTTTACCAGTTTTATTAAAAAAATAATAACAAAACCTATAACGCATTTTTTAGTCATATATTAAGGCTGCCGCAGGTGATCATTTCCCAGGAATTTGAGCAAAGGAATTTAAGGTGAGAAAAAGTTTACAGGGAGGCTATCAATACCTGAAGTTTTATGGGGGTGATGTTGGATTCGACGAACGAAATAAATGTGTAAAGTAATCAATAATCTTCCAATGTATATCGTCAAGATGATCTACCTACATAATTGTATAGGCCTTGAATGAAATTTCTACGTCGTCAACCTCTTGCACAGGCATGAAAAGAAGAAGAATTTTTTCACCATCGATGAGCCAGTGTACACGAGCACAGTGCCTCCAATACTAGTAGTGAGTCTGTTGATAATCAAAGATCTTTTGAAATATTGATTTCAATCCTCTAGATACTGAAATCTAGCGTCTAATATTGATATTTAAAAACCTTTCCACGCTTACATTTTAGATGATGAAAATATTTTAATTAAGTCCTTAGTAAAAATTTTAAAAATCAATTAACTCATTGTAAATTTTTTTAATTCAATTTAGCCCCAGTTAGTTGAAAAGATAATTAATTTTGACCATTATATAGTGGTTGATAAATTTTGATCAATTTGTAGTATGGTATTACATATCATTATCTTATTAATCTTTTGTAAGTTAATAATCAAAATTGATCGATCAACTGTCAAAAAACAAGTTCACCGACATTTAAAGTATTTGGAGAGGAGGGAGTTTGATGTCGTCCCAGTCTACACTAACACATATTTCACTATTAATGTTAATTCTAGAAATAAAATATTTAACCTTATCGTGTTAGCACAATTAATTTGATCACCCTAAATGTTTTAATCTTGACCGTCAATCGATTTTGTGTTCGGAAGTTTCGGCGGTGGTCCATGTGGAAGGGAAACGAGAGGAGGTAGGCAAGTTGCAGACGTTGATGTCAACGGGAAACAAACGGTATTGAATGTCGAATTCTTTGAAGATGTTGACCATTTCTTCAGCCAGTCGAGATCTCCTTTCCAACCTCTCCCCTATGTCTTGGTAGTTCATTTTATGAGTCACCCAAAGTGCCAATTTCATCCGGTTCAATTTGTCCAGATCTTTTACCACGATCATTGGATCAGAACACCAATGATCCTTCCGGTTAACAATATAACTGCAAACAAAACAAAAATATATTCATGTTATCACCGCGATCTGACATCATAGATGATATGATGAACAAGGTTTACGTAATAAATAGATCAGTTGACGTGATATTTTTTTCAATGATGACGTGATATTACCTCATCGCGGAATATTAACATCACTATTAATTTTTTAACGACGGATGATTGACGTTAGATATGATTTTGAAAAAAAAAATATTGAGCGACCAAAACCAAACTAAAGGAATAGGTATCGTTTACCCAATAAGTTTTCACGTACTTTATTATTCTTTGCTTTACGAGAGCAATCTTTTCGACCGGAGTAGCAACGTGGACCACGAACTCAATCAGATCAAGCATGTCTGGACTTCGATAAAAGTTGCCTATAGGCGTCGTTGAAAGAACACTGTTGGGAAACACCGTCTTCATGTTGTCGTATCTCAAGAAAACAGTAGTCAAAATGTTCATCTCTTCCACCACAAGCTAAAACAACCACCAATGCATGTTTAGATCACATGTTATAAACACACAAAAAATGATTCAACGAATGGTGTTAAATTTGTATTGTACCTGCACTCCGTTGATCTCACACCGATCGCCGACGTCGAAAGGGTGAATGATGAACAAGAAGATTATGGATTCGAAGATGGTTCTGCAGGTGTTCCCGAAGATGAAGGCTGCGAGGACCAGCTGGGAACTGAAGAGTACGATAAGCTCTGAGGAAGCGATTTCCAGAACCACAAGCCATATTACGAGTATAATGGTCCCGACAATGACGTTTATGATCTTGTGAAGCTTGTTTACTGCTGTCTTTGTGTCGTTTAGGGTCAAGGCAAGGGCTTTTCGTTCTCTGTAGGCATTCAACTGAAACGAATAGCTAAAGTTAATCATACTTTACAAGTTAATTGCTCGATCTTTTAATAAATTATCAATACTTTACATTCATCCCTGGTTAGGTTATCATTAGTTCTTGGGACTTGAACTATTTTTGTTAATGGTCTTATATAGAATGATGGTAGTTGCAGGCCATTTTTTCCCCGGATTGGACGTAGAATCATTATGGTAGTGATATAAAGAAAAGAAAAAAAAATGATAGGAGTCAGAAGATGATGATAAGTGGGTCTGGGGTTGAAGTTCTTGTCTCTCAGCTTCGTTTGTACGGGTATATATATATATATATTCCTGACAGTCTTAGAATTGATGACTACTGATGGATTTACAGGTAGATAAATTTAACTGTGAGATAGTAGATTAGTTGGTGATGAAATTGACAACAGTGGTGTCAAGGTACTATAGCCAAGTATATGAAGTGGGGGTTATCTTTGGGTGAGCCTTAAGATATCTCAGGGAAAACTCTAGAAGTTTCGGATCTCTTGTACAGACGAATGACATTGGAAATGTAATTTACTGAGGAGATACAATAATGTTCAATTATATTAAAAAGATTTTGATGCATTTTAAAAATAAGTAGGTGTTTATCTTGTATCATGTCCCAATATGTAGACGTAGGGAGCAATATAGATTGTTACCACCCAATTCTTCAAGGACTTTTTGCTTATTCTCCCGTGCTCATAGGCGTCTTCAAAGGTAGCCATTGTTCTTAAAGCTTCGTCTTCTCCCATAAACCTCATCAAATCCTCCAAGTAGATAAATCTATCAACCAAAACAAGTTACAACAAGAGTGTTCCTAAACAAGTTCAATTTGATCGACTTCATTTTGTAAACTAAACCAATAATTACTTACTTCGACCCACGGCGAGCCACATTGTGGAAAATCTTCTTGGCAGCCGCCGTTGCTTCATGTTCACTTCTGATCTGTTTCACCGAATCATCCTCCATAACTTGTTCATCCAATGTCGTCAGTGTCCCGTGTCGGACCATCTTCATCAACCTCTTCATGTTCCAAGCCGAGATGTTCTCTTGATTGAGCTTATGTACATGTTCTAATGCGATCCCGACATCCTCTTTCTTCGACGAACCTTGTTGAGAAAGTGTTTTCAACCTGGTGAATGTTTTCTTCAACATCCCACTACTCTGTTGTGGGAAGGCATCGTCGCGAAGATCCGAAGGCACGGTTGCACCGGCATTCTGCAACTTTCTGATCTCGGCTGCGGTTCTTTCATCTTCTTCTTCCATCCTTCGGGCTTCGATTACCGGAGAACCCGAGAGCGTCGCGATCACATATTGGTTGAACAATGTATCTTGAATCCTATCGAAATAAGTACTGACATGAAAAGATGAAGCCATTACTTTTACTAGCAGTGTCTTGAGTAACCACAAACACGTGCTCACCAACAAGCATATAAGGATTTTGGAAACAAATTGAAGCAATATGCTTTTCCTCTCCACTTCCTTGTCAAACAAGAAACGCCATGCCAGAAGAACTAGGGCTAACCATAAGCAATTCTGGACCGGTTTTCTTAAACCATATACGAAATACAGCATCCTTTTCCTTAAAAAGAAGTTCATCTCGATGAAGAAGACAAGGATTCGGATCCCCCAACCCGAAACCAATCGTCCACAGATCAAAACCAGCAAGAACACTAACCATTTCCATAGAGCAAGCTCCCATAGGTCAATTACTTTCAGTGAAGGGATGAATAAGCTGCATAGCAAAGCCGCAACAATAACAAAAAGACTCACCAATTGAACCCAAGTGAATGCATCAAGATTGGTTTTCCTGAATTCATCAGGCAAAACATCATCTGCAAAAGGGTCATCTTCTTCTTCGTATTCCGATCCTTTCCCGAGCATACCGGAGTAACCAGACTTAAGCTGACCGGATTTTCCTAACAAACCGGACATCAATTGTACCTCTTCCTCTGACCTGTCTATAAGCCTCGACTTGGTACTCTTCATTCCTAGCAAACCCGATTTTCCGATGAGGGATAGAGGAGCCGACGCATTCGATACGCGTCTGGACTGATCGTTGGTCTGATCATTTACTATTCCGTCTTGTTGTTGCGTTTGGGTGTTGAAACTCACGCCTCCGGTTTCGAAAGAAACGTTTCTAGGGTCTCGGGCTAAGGACGGGTCGCGTTTAAGGTCGTCTAACTCTAACCCCATCTCTGATGTAATCTCGTTGCTGTTGTTCCTTCTGTTCATGAGATGATCGTTCATTTTCTTCCACGTCGGTGATTCCTCCCCCGCTTGCCACCCTTTCTTGTACTCGAAGCTACCGTTACCGCCGTTGTTCCTCTCTCCCCTGTCGCTCCAAAACTCTAAATTAGATTGCCTAAAACTTGGATCTTGGTTCAAATCTCTGTTGCTGCCCGTCCTGGATTCTGCTGGCTCGAGCGATACCGAAGATTTCATCGGATCACGGTCACCATCCATGACGACTAGTGCTTCCTCGTGGCTATCGAAATCAGATAGAATCGGAAGCTCTTCGGTTCTATATTTAGTGCTGCCTATTCTGCTTGCTTTCAAGTTCTTGGACGAGTTTGACAACGATAAGGCCTTCGGGTTTCATTAAGACATTGATGGTTCATTTTCAATGAAGGCCATGAATGCAATGGATGCATTGCAGCGATAGAGAAAAAAGTTTTCAGATTCTTCAATATTAAACGTGGGGTTTGGGACCTCTTAAGATATTGAGGGTGTACTTGAAAAAAATGTGTTAATTGTAACATATCAACAATGGAGAGCGGCGGAGAAAGAGAGGATGGATATGAAGATAGAGTAAAAGGTGGCGTTGAAGACGACAAAGACAGAAAATGCATGGTCACTCCGTTATTGCTAATTATAAGACTAAATATAGGTAAGACATTTGGCCAATCAAATATGTCTAGTTTCCATTTTTCTTCGCTCAAATTGAAATAATAGTATTTTTTAAAGGGTAAACTATAGTAGATATTATTGAATTTTAGGTGATACATCGATGATATCATTAAATTTTAATTGTTTTTTTCTTCAATTATAACATTGAATCATAAAAATCCAAACTATGCGATGACATGAATAAAAAGTCATCATTTTGGTGTGACTATTTATGTCCAAAACGATGTCCAAAACGATGTTGCTTTAAACATTGAATTTTAGAGATGTATCAATAGTGGTAAAACTTTTAAATGATTCACTTTTATGCGATAAACTTTTTAGCCACCTCTCAAAATCGACGAAATTAAACAAAACAAATATCAGTTTTAAGATCACTTTTATGCGATAAACTTTTTAGCTACCTCTCAAAATCGACGAAATTAAACAAAATAAATATCAATTTTAAGAGTTTGGCAGCTTTATATGATTCAAGAAATTTAAGATATTTGTTAGAAAATTCGAATTATAAAAAATATTATTTCAAAAAGACGAACAACATACCTCAATTTTAGATGAACTTTCATTGATTTTGAGTAGGTTTTGTGAAAAATCAATTGATGAGAAAAAAGAGGAGCTAAATGTGAATACTTTGATATCAAAGCAATACATCCATAAAGTTTTTACTATTATTAATAATACATCCATAAAGTTGAATGCTTAAAACGATGTCATTTTGGGCATCAATAACCACACCAAAACAACATTATTTTGTCTACATCATCACATTGATAGAAAAAATTGTCAATGTCATTGTGTCGCTAAAATTAAGGGCTCAATGCTATAATTGAAGTCAGAACTAAAGTTCAATATTATAATTGAAGCAATTGAAAGTTTAGTGGTACAAACCATGTATTACCTAAAGAAAAGTGGTATACAAACAATCAATTACTCTTATAGAACACGATGATAAATCCTAAAAAAAATACCCATAGTAAACACTTATGTAAATTAATTAATCAATACATCTAAAAATATGTCCTTAATATTTGATTAAATAATTGTTTTAAACTTTCTAGCATCTTAACTCTCAACGTTTTATTTCCGGACAAAAGATCCTTCAATTGATGAAAACTCTTGGTTATTAAACGATCAACGTCCCAAAATAAAAAAAAATTGTCCTAAAGTGAAATTTTGAGGGTTAAAATACTCCAAACAAAAAGAATAAGGGTTAAAATACCTATTTAGTCAAATATTAGAGGTATTTTTATCTTAAAATAAAATATTAAGAACTAAAGTACTCTAAAAAAATAAAAATCAAAATGACTATTTAATCAAAGTTGATAATATTATTTTAACATTATATATCATTTTATTATCACCAAAGCTGTTACATTTGAAATCTCTATTTTAAGCAAACAAGAACCATATCTTTATAGAATAAAAATTTCGGTTGCATCTTCCTAGTCTTTCTTCTACCTAAATATGACTAAAAAATAATACCTAAAATAATGCTTATTTTAAATTATTTTCTGAATTAATATTTTTTTATGTAAAACGGATCACGTGAAAAATATTTTTCAAAAAAACATTTTTTACGAAATATCTTCTGTTAATGTAATAAAAGTCTATAAGAACTTGAGAAAATAACATCAGTGACCAAAAATGCCTTATAATATACGATTTTAACCAACTTTTTTTGGATTTGCCAAAATGACCAACTAAATCGCAATGCGATCGATAATTCGTAATGTGATCTCCGGTATCGCAAATCAGTTTCCAGATTCGCAACGCGAACTTCGACTATCGCATTGCGATTTACATATTCGCATTGCGATAGTCCAAGTTCGCATTGAAATAGTCGAAGTTCGCGTTGCGATTTTCCAAATTCGACTATCGCAATGCGATTTACATATTCGCATTGCGATAGTCCAAGTTCGTTCGCGTTGCGATTTTCCAAATTCGTTGCGATAGTCGAAGTTCGCGTTGCGATTTATTCCAAATTCGTTGCGATAGTCCAAAATCGCAACGACCGGTGGTATTGCATTTGTTTCTTAAGAATTTTCTCTAAAAAGATAGTATTAGCGCGGACGTGTCGAAGACACGTATGACCACGACCACGACCCTAGACGAGACAAGACAGACGGCGGCGGCGGCGGCGCGCGAGAGTCCCCCTTGTTCTCTATCACTCATTAAGGAAGTGGGAAAGCCAAGCCTTAAATAACGACCACGACCACGACCCGAGACGAGACGGACGGCGGCGGCGGCGGCGCCCGAGAGTCCCCTTGTTCTCTATCACTCATCAAGAAAGTGGGAAAGCCAAGCCTTAAATACAATTCCCAATAGTATTTCCAATACTATGTGGGATTGAGCATTATCAACACTTGTTTCCAATACAATGTGATTATTCAGGAAACAATTAACAATCATGCACCTTAAAACAACTGAATCAGCAACCAATTGCATTAGTATTATACGATTAAATATGTCATAATTAAAAGTCAATCTACAATCAATCGTGATTATTGCAATTTTAAGCAAAACATTCAAAAATAATATCACTATTTAAGGCTCAATCTCACATAGTATTGGGAACAAGTGTTGGTAATGCTCAATCCCACATAGTATTGGAAACACTATTGGGAATGGTATTTAAGGCTTGGCTTTCCCACTTCCTTGTTGAGTAATAGAGAACAAGGGGACTCTCGCATGCCGTCGCCGCCGCCGTCCAGTCCCGTCTCGTGGTCGTGGTCGTGGTACTATCGCAACGAACTTGGAATAAATCGCAACGCGAACTTGGACTATCGCAACGAATTTGGAATAAATCGCAACGAATTTGAAATAAATCGCAACGCGAACTTGGACTATCACAATGCGAATATGTAAATCGCAATGCGATAGTCGAAGTTCGCGTTGCGAATCTGGAAACTGATTTGCGATACCGGAGATCGCGTTGCGAATTATCGATCACATTGCGATTTAGTTAGTCATTTTGGCAAATCTAAAAAAAATTGGTTAAAATCATATATTATAATGCATTTTTGGTCACTAAGGTTATTTTCTCTAAGAACTTTTATTGAGCTGAAATGAAAGAAGAAAAAAGAGAGGACAAAAATATAGAAAATTATATAAATCTTATTTAAAAAGAAGAGAGAATCGCCTCAGTGACCAAAAAAAAGTTATAATATACGATTTTAACCAACTTTTTTTGGATTTGCCAAAATGACCAACAAAATCGCAACGCGAAATAAAAATCGCAACGCGATCCCCAGAATCGCAAATCAGTTTCCAAAATCGCAACGCGATTCTTGAAAATCGCGATGCGATAGTACAAATTCGCATTGCGATTTTCCATAATCGCAACGCGAATATGAAAATCGCAACGCGAACACATAAATCGCAACGCGTATCCGTAAATCGCAACGTGTATCCGTAAATCGCAACGCGTATGGGTAAATCGCAATGCGTATCCGTATATCGCAACGCGTATCCGTAAATCGCAACGCGTATCCGTAAATCGCAATGCGTATCCGTAAATCGCAACGCGTATCCGTAAATCGCAACGATAATCCGTAAATCGCAACGCGTATCCGTAAATCGCAACGATAATCCGTAAATCGCAACGAGAATCTGTAAATCGCAACGATAATCCGTAAATCGCAACGAGAATCTGTAAATCACAACACTTAAATTTTGGGTATATAACACTGAAATCATAAACTAAATCCCTAAATCGCAACTCATTCCATCTCCATCTATCACTCTCTCCGGCGACATCCGTTCCTATATCCAACGACATCCTTCCCAATCCGGCAACAGGTTTTAGTTTCGCAGCTCGTCTGTTTAGTAAATTAATTTACAACCATGAAATCATCTAATGTTGATCATGTTTGGATAGATTTGTGTTTTGGAGGGTCATGGGATAATGTTCATGGTGTTTTACATATATGCCTTTACCCATGAATCTTCAACTAAAATTGTCTTTACAAAAGTTAACTTATGAAACTCTAATGCTACGTGTTTCAAATAAATTGAATTTAGAGCCCCTAAGTGGATTTAGGCTATCTTATCAGAGAAATGGTAAAGTTTATTTGTTAACGACAATGAAGATGTTGAACGTTCATTGCTTACATTAGTGTTTCACAATGATGTTACATTGTATGTTGTTGAACCTAGAAGTAGTATTGTTGGGTCAGTAGGGTAGTAATCAACTAAGTTTTCTCAAAACCACAACCTTTCTCTAATCCAAATCCCAATCAACTTCAGCACCAAATTCCGGTTTTCGTATTGACCAGTTAGACGATGATGAGCCAACAGAAAAAATTGTGAGTACTAGTCAGTATTCGAAATTTGGTCTTGGTCAATATCCGGACTTTGATATTGGTCAATACACGGATTTTGATGATGTTTCAGAAGAAGAAACAGACCATGCGTGTAATGATATTGATATTGGTCAATACCGAATTTTGATGATGAAACAGCCGTTGCCGAAGAATGTAATTGATGATAATGAGAGGAAGTTACGACTGTGAATGAACATGTTGAACATCCATTCTGTAATTCATATAATCCTGAAGAAGAAAAAGAAGAAGAAAAGTCCCGAAGAAAAAAAATGCCACGGCGTATAACTGGAATATGCCAGAATTACTTCAGATACCGGAAGAAGAGTTGATAAAGAAAGCAGTTGATTGTTACACAAAAGTTATTCGTATCAGATGATTGTTTTGATACAAAGGAAGACTTGAAGATAGCTTTATATACGAAATGTGTGGAAGATGGCTATCAACTAAAAGTTAACAAATCAAGCAAAGATCGTTTCGAAACAAGTGTATGATTGACAAAAACTGTACGTGGCGTATGATTGCAAAGAGAATAAAAGATTGCAAAATGTTTCAAGTTAGGACTTTTATTGATAAACATACATGTTCAAGAACCCAAGTTTTTCCTCACCATAGACAGGCAAACA